GGTCTTTTTGAGACAGGGTCTCCTTGTAGCCCCAGCTGTCCTGGAACTCACTATGTAGACCAGGCTGGCCTTGAACTCACTCTGCCTCCCAAGTGCTGGGATTAAAGGTGTGCGCCACCATGCCCAGCCCTCATACTGACTTTTTTTAAAAAAATTTTTTTTAATTTTTATTTCATGTATATGAGTGTGTTTTGCCTGCCTGTGTGTAGGTGCACCATGTGCATGCAGTGCCCAAAGAGACCAAAATAGGACATCAGATCCCTTGGAACTGGAGTTATAGACATAGACGATTATTAGCCATCATGTGGGTGCTGGGAACTGAACCTGGGTCCTCCGCAAGAGCAGCCACTGCTCTTAACCACTGAGTCATCTCCCCAGCTCCCATTTTGACCTTCTTTGGCAGAAAAACTATGGGTGTGACCACTGCATGGATGGAGAAGCAGACCCAAAAAGGGGCAAGGACTGTTCTGGACTCCCTGAAATACATGGCAGGGAAGCATCCAGGCACAGGACTACACCCCATCAGCCCTGCCTGCAGGACCACCCTCAGCATCTGGTGGTTCCCTTAGCACTTCACTTCCTTCTCTCAGGTACCTGGAGGCTGTGAGGAGGTTGAAGGGTGCGGGCCACCGGTTCCCTAGAACCATCCACATGACCTTTGTGCCTGGTAGGAGTGGCTCAGGGAGGGGCATCTTTGGGAAGGAGGAGGAAGGTAAGTTGAGAGGCATCCCACATCCCTGACACTTTTACAGATGAGGAGGTCGGAGGTCACAAAGGGATGGAACTGTTTGTGAAGAGACCTGAGTTCCAGGCTCTACGAGCAGGTTTCACCCTAGATGAGGGTGAGCAGGTTGGCAAGCCTCCTAGCAGCCAGGCCAAGGGTATGGAGACTGCAAGGGGGAGCTGGGTCACTCCACCCTGTGTATCTACTTTCTCCCTCAGGCATGGCCAACCCCACTGATGCTTTCACTGTCTTTTATAGTGAGCGGAGCCCTTGGTGTAAGTATGGGTTTTTTTTCTTGGGGGGGGGGGTCATTGCGCATATGGAAGACTGAGACAGAAAGGGTTGGGGCTTGCACAGGGTCTCAGCAGTTGAAGTCTGAGACATACAGACTTTTGCCCCCCAGCCCTTTCCTTCCTAGGTTCTAAGAGCAAGCTCTAACTGTGACCAGGAACCTGCTCTGTGCCATGGGCTCAGAGCAGAACAAGGTCTGACCGAAGGAGCTTGGGATGTGGAAAAGACTGGGCCTACTGTAGGAGTGATTGCACTTCTAGCTCTCTCTTGCTGAAGACACTATTCCTCTCACTGTTCCCCAGGGGTACGGGTTACCAGCACTGGGAAGCCAGGCCATGGTTCACGTTTCATTGAGGACACAGCAGTCGAGAAGCTGGTGTGTGGTCTGTGGGAAATCTGGGCATTTAGGGGACTCTGTCCCAGAGCCATTTTCACATGTCACCTCCTGTTCTCTTAGCACAAGGTTATGAGCTCCATCCTGGCATTTCGGGAGAAGGAAAAGCAGAGGTGAAGCAGCCTGGAAAGGGGGTAGTGTGTGGGGGTGGCTGTGGAAGGCTGTGCAAGACAGGAAGGAGACTGAACTACCTTCTTTTATCTGCTCCTCCCTCCCCTCCCATCCTCCCCAACCCACCTCTGCAGGCTGCAGGCAAACCCTCACCTGAAGGAGGGGGCTGTGACTTCTGTGAATCTGACTAAGCTAGAAGGTGGTGTGGCCTATAATGTGGTACCTGCTGCTATGAGTGCCAGCTTTGACATTCGAGTGGCGCCAGATGTAGACCTGAAGGTGCCACTTCCACCTGAGTTTGAGGGAGAGCACCTGGGTTCTCTATTCTGCCCTGGGAACTCAGTTCACCTCTCTTCCTTCAGGCCTTCGAGGAGCAGCTGCAAAGCTGGTGCCGGGAAGCTGGGGAGGGGGTCACCTTTGAGTTTGCTCAGGTATTGACTTGGGACTTATGATGCTGCAGGAGCATTGGGGTTATGGGAGACTGGGCTTGGCAAGAGTGACAGCATAGGAGTGTGTGCCTGGTTCACCTGGGCATTTCCTTAGCTATTAGAGGTATTTCATTTACCCAGTGCAGTGAGCAGTAGATATAGAGAACTTTGTGAGTGCTAGGGAATAAGGTAGGGGTAAAATTGGGCTCAGGTCTCACCTTGTACTCCCTACAGCATGAAGAGGTGAGATATAAATGTTTACATACTTTGATATGAGGGTTGAGAATGTAGCTGTTTGCCTAGCATGCATGAAGCCCCAGGTTTGATCACCAGCACCACATAAAGTACGCATGGTGGCATATACCTGTAATCCCAGCATTCAGAGATGGAGACAGGAGGATCAGGAGTTCAAGGCTAGCCTGTGCTACATAGTGAACTGAAAAGCAGCAAGGGCTACATGAAGCCCCATCTCAAAAAACAAAAACAAATTACTGTGATATGAATATGCACACATGTGGTCTAGGAAAGTGGGCCTTGCTTTTTGGTTTTTGTTTTTGTTTCTTTGTTTTTTGAAACAAGATCACCCTATAGCCCCAGCTGGCCTGGAATTCCAGGCTCGTCTCAATTTCACAGAGATCCTCTTGCCTCTGCCTCCCAAGTGTTGGTATTAAAGGCTTGAGCTTTTAATGGGCCTTGTAATCTGAGAGCATATATTCCACCAGACTGAGGCTTAGGGCATCTGAGGAATGAGCACTTGGGCTAGGATCTAAAGGATGGACAGGAGGGAAGTAGATGAGGGAGAGAAAGGTCCCAGATCTAGAGCATCTAAGGGACTGGAAGAAAACCTGAGGCCACACTGGCCACCTGGAAGCCTGGTAGTTCAGTGGGTGCACAGCCCATTCTATAAGAGAGCATAATTTCGCAGCCCTCGTCCTAATCCTGTCATCCCTTCTGTTCCCCAGAAATGGACAGAGCCCCGAATGACATGCACCGATGATTCAGACCCCTGGTGGGCAGCCTTCAGTGGGGTCTGCAAGGACATGTGAGCGCTGACCAGCTCTCCTCCTGTAACCCAGATCCCTGCTCCTCTCCTCCCAGTTGTCCCTCACTCTCTTCCTTCTCTCCTCCCCTACCTCTCTCCCACCTCCTTATTTCCCCCAGTTTGTTGCCCCCTACTTCCTATTCATTAGGCTCTTCCCCTGCAGGAACCTTACTCTGGAGCCAGAGATCTTCCCTGCTGCCACTGATAGCCGCTATATCCGAGCGGTGAGCTGTTCACAGGGCAGGGCAGTGTCGGGCTGTGAGCTGGTCCGGAGGCTGGCTTCGCCCTAAAAGTGCCTTTTCACCCTTGCAGGTCGGGATCCCGGCTCTGGGCTTCTCACCCATGAACCAAACACCTGTGCTGCTGCATGACCATAACGAAAGGCTGCATGAGGCTGTGTTCCTCCGTGGGATTGACATATACACCCGCCTGCTGTCCGCACTTGCCAGTGTGCCTGCCCTGCCTAGTGAAAATTGAGCCCCCACCCCCACCCCTGCAGCTTCTAGCTCAACCAGTGCCAAGGACCTCTTGCCTCTGCCCAGTAATAAAGCCAGTATGGACAGGGGCTTCTTCTGAAGTACTTTACACTGTGGACAGTCATGGAGGAGGGATTTGGGTTTCTGGGGACTTGGTGCTACCACCTCCATTTCACGGATGGGAAAACTGAACCTGGCTTTGGGTCCTTCCCTACCACCCACAGTTCTGTGCCTCTTGACATAGTACACTGTCCCATACTCCCAGCCACATCTGTGCCCAGCTAGAGGCTACTGACCTGAAAGATCAGACTACTGTTCCCATCAAAAGTGAACACTGGGAACACTGGGGAGATGGTTCAATGTAATTCAAGACTCCAGCACCTGCATAAAAATCTGGGTGTGCCGGCAACCCTAGCATTCGTAGGGTGTGGGGACAGATGAATCACTGGGGGTTCTGACAAGCCTAGTGCCAGATTCAGTTAAAGACCCTGTCTCAAAGGAATAAGGTGGAGAATGATAGAGAGGACACTCGATGTCTTCCTCTGGACTCCACATGGGCACACACATGCATATACTACACACACACACACACACAGGAACACACAAAGTGGATGCTGGGGCTTGAGAGAAAGCTTAGTAAAGTGCTTGCTGCACAAGCATAAGAACTTGTTGTTTTTTTTTTCAGACAGGGTCTCCCTGTAGCCCCAGCTGACCTGGAACTCACTGTAGACCAGGCTGGCCTTGAACTCACAAAGACTTGCCTGCCTCTGCCTCCTGAGTGCTGGGATTAAAGGCATGTGCCACCACAGCCAAACCACAAGCATGGGAACTTGAGTTTGATCCCAGAACCCATGTTGAAGTGCCCAACATGGTTGCACAAGCTTGTAATACCAGCACTGGGGAAGTGGAGATATGATCCCTAGGGTTTACTGGCTAGCCAGTTTAATTAGTTAGCCCCAGGCCACTGAGAGACTGTCTCAGAGGAGGGAGATGGGATTCCTGAGAATGATATCCAGGATTGTCTTCTGGCTTGTGGTGGTGGTGGTGGGTGGAGTGTGACAGCACAATGCACACAAAACTGACACAAAGATAAATGTCTCAAGCTACTTGGCTTCCAGGGACACTTGGGATTCTGGGACAGGTTAGGGCCCTGTTGTAAGCAGAGTAGTCAGTGGGCAAGTTGGCAAGGGGACAGCCTTTTCTGGTTTGTCTGTTTTTGTCAAAACGCCTGGTCTCTGGGTCTAGAGAAAGTCCTGGTCATTTCACTTTTCAGGCCCTAACATGTCAACCAGTGATTAGGACCAGTATGAGCTGAGCTGCAAGATGTCAGCCCTTGTAGGAACCCATTTGACATGACTGTAGCCATCTTCGATGTCACCATCACTTTGCCCACCCGGTGGTCTTGCGAGGTATTCCAAATGCTATAGGGTAGTCATAAAGACAGTTAGCCAAGCATTTTACACTGGCCAGATGCAGGGCTGCTTAACATAATAAGGGTTTTTGTATTTTGAGAAAGCCCAAGTACATCCTGGTAGGCTGCAGGCCAGCTTTGTCTAACTTAAGTCTATAAACCCTTCCTCCCATATCAGGGTGCAGGAATCCTGCCTGCCTGTCCCCAACTGAGTACATTTTATACAGTCCTACTTTGTCTACCTCTGATCTGAGCATTTTCCTTCGGCTTTGGGAGGTGTTTTCCTTTAACAGGCCTGCCCCAGGCAGTGAGGTGTAGCTATAGCTCCAAAAACTGAACATGTTTCTCTCCATCTGGCTTCCATGAGGACAGTACAGGGGAGACAAGAGCTTTTTAGTGCCCAGTTATAGACAGTCCAGATCCTGGCATTTAGTGTACAGGCTGTTCTGATAGTAATGACCCCTGCTCATGGTAAGAGCCCAGACTTTCAACTGCTTATACAATGAGGCAACCTTTTCACTAAAGTCCCACTAGACCTAGAAGCTCTGTCTGCTGCAAAGCTTGGTCTACACTAGAGCTCCCTGAAGGAACTTTTCTCAGTGCAACATGACTGGGCTCCCACGTTGCCTTCAGCCCTCCCTAGCCATGTGATCAAATTGTCACACCCAGCAAAAATAACATTTCAGAGGTACGGGGACCATGCCATAGGCCAAACCTGCTGTCCTGGCATAAGTGCATCCCTTTCTGAGTTACCAAAGTGCCTAAGATTGGACTGAAGCTAGTTTTGAAGATTAACTGTAACCAAGTAAGGCTCCACCTGCTGTCTTCTCCAGAAACACCCACTCTCCTTGCTGGCTCTAAGGATTAAGCCCTTGCCTGAAGCTGGGACAGGTGCCTCACAGCTGTAATCCTTACACTCTGGGAAGCTGAGGCAGAACTGTCAAGGTCAGGGCTGACCAGATGGATCAGCAGGTAAAGGCACTTGCCACTAAACCTGGTAACCCTAGTTGTCCTCTGACCTCCATGTGAACCCTTCTCACAAAATATAATCTTAAAAATTAATAAAAGGGAGTTGGGTGTGGTGGCAGATGGCAGAGGCAGGCAGATTTGAGTTCAAGGCTAGCCTGGTCTACATAGCAAGTTCCAGGCCAGCTGGGGCTACAAGAAGACTTGTCTCAAAAAGACCAAAAAATAAAAAAGGGCTCCTGTGTGTAATGCACCTCACTTAGAGGCACAGTAGGGTCAGGCCACCATGGCAGTAAGGCAGCGCCACCACTGTCCTCCCTTCCCAGACCCATGATTTCAAGAACCAGCACAACTCAAAGCAGTGGACCCTTGACCAAGTACACTCATGACAAGTCTGGGATGTTAGGCACAGTACAGACTCTTCAGCAGGGCCCTTCCATACCCAACAAGGGAGGACGTTTAGGCCTTCGAAGAGGGCCTAGCAATCTAGACACTCCAGCTCCCCGAAGCTCCAACCATTCTGCATTTGTCCCTCTCTTACGCTCCAGAATCCTGTTTCCTGACTCAAACCCATACCCATCTATCCAAAGCTGTAACCTTTCCCCGCACCCGAGGGGGTAGCAGTTCCAGCCTAGTCCAATGATGACACAGATTAACATCTTGCCCTCAAGTTTATTTGTAAAAACAGCACAGGACACTAGCCCTCTGTAAACAGTGGGGAGGGAGGTCACACCAGTCCATCTGTCTTCACGTTGGCAGACCTTTATTGTGGGGCCTTCACAGGGGCCTGGGTACCTTTGGGAGCCTGAGCTGCAGCCTGGGTCTTAGCTGCAGTTGGAGCCTGGGTCTTAGCTGGAGCTGCAGCCCCAGCCTTGGCCTTTGGTCGGCAGAGCCTGCGACCCTTAGCCATGTAGCCACGAATCCGCTTCCCAAGTTTGGGGTGAGCAATGAAAGCAAGCCGGCGGAGCTTGCTGTTGGGACCCTTTGGCATCTTGGGCTTAAATTCCTTGGGCTTCACAAGGGCCTTGACAGCCTCAGCACGCGCACTCATGGCTTTCGCGTTGTTGGCCTGCATCTTCTTCAGACCCTTCCTGTTGTGCTTCTTGGCAAAACGCATGTTCCTCAGGAACTTGGGGTCTACCTGAAAAATAGGAAGTGTGGCAGTATAAAATCATCCCCAAATCATTTCCTGGAGTCCTTTCGCATAAGGGTGAATGGCATTGTAAATACAGCATTGTTATCTTTAAGTATGACAGACTGTAGGGTATGAACTTCCTATGGAAGAAACTAAATGTTTTCTAAAATCCCCCCCTCCCTTTCAGAGGAATGTCAATTAAATACCAAACCTAGACCATCAGATTCACACTTTGCAAATAGCAGAGAGCAAGGTTACAAGCAAATAGACCAGGGGTAGGCTCAGCTCTCCTAGATCTCACTCAGCCTGTCTGATAACCCTAAAACCCACTGGCACAGGGAGAGAAACTGTCCCTAGCCTGGTACTGGATTGGGTTGAGTTTATAAAGTTGGTCAATATAAAACCAGACAAGACTACTCCTTGGTCCAAGGGCTCTGACCAAGAGATGGTTACTTTGTTCTTACAAGGCCAGTTATACCAAGAACTGGGAAAATCAAGGAAAGCTTTGCTATAGATCTGGTAGTACAGGGAAAGGAACAGAGGGGCTTTGGAAGACCATGTATGTAAAAGGACAGTTAACAGTACCCAGAAGCTGAACCTGGGAAAAAAATAATCTATATTGTGGACTAGTGGCTAGGGGATAATTTAAGATACAGCATATACTACTCACCCCCTTAAGAGACTCGTATCTTTGTGACCGTGGTTTCTTGATGCCATTTCTGTGCCATTTTCGAGCTGTAGGTTACCAAAAAAACTCAGACCAAAAAAGAAGTATCCTTTACCAGACCACCTAATGTCACAGCTGGGAAGGTCTTGAGTTCTGAGAAATCAGTCACCACTGAGTGCAAAGCACTTCTGGCTCCCAAACTTGTAAACTCCAAACTAGCTAAACTTACAGCTCTGGGCTCACCAAGGAAAACTGCCCCTCCTTACCCTAGGAACCAGTACCTCCAAACCAACCTTTGCTAGGTTACCGGGCAACAGCTGAGCCCAAGAGACTTACACTGGTTGTGTGTGGTGTGGTTCTTGGACTTGGCCATGTCTGCACCTGCAAGAAAGACAGATCAGGGCTGGGGCTCCCCAGGCTGGGCCACCTCTGCCGCCCTGACCTGGTGAAAAATGAGGCAAAAACCCAGAATAAGCCTGCAGTATAGGCGGTTCGAACCTACGACCCTCCAACCGACCTCGCCTCAGTCTACAGGACCCGACCCTGCCTCCCAAACGCGGGTGAGGAGGTCCTCAAACTAACCTTCCCTGCCCCAGGGTCGCTCTCCGATATCAAATCCGAGCGCCCGCCTCCACCATCCGTGTCCACAGGACCGAGCACCGCCACCCTGACCCAGCAGCCTCCACGCCCCACGGCCACGCAGCCGCCACCCCTGCCCTTGCTGAGACCCGAGGCGCACGCCCCATGACCCGCCGCCGCCCAGGAGTCATGGATGGCATCGGATGCCTCACGGCCCAAACTCACGGGATCCCGCGGCTCCAGAAGCGCCTGGGACCGGAAGAGAAAGAGGAAGGCCGCAGTGCAGCACGGGAAATAGGGTCGACGACGCCGGAAGGTACAACTGGAAAAGCTTCCCCCAGTACCCGGAAGAAAGGTTCCAAAGCCACCAGCAAGCTGGGGAAGCGGGGCTTGGAGTCTGGCTCCGCCCCTTGTGGCGCCGTGGAGTTCCTTTCCTTCTTCTTGACTGGGTCTCGTTCCGTAGTTTAGACTAGACTGAAACTTGCCATCCTCCCACCACAACCCCTCCACCTCCCTTTGAGTTTACAGGCGCAGCGGGGTCCGCTTCCGCTGGTCTAGCCTCGTCTCCTTCATGGCCTTCTGCGGTCTTCCTTCTCTTCCTCCAGTACCTGCCAGGCTCATGAGGCCTGACCTCATTTAAAGACCCTAAAGGCCAAGGAAGTCCTTGAGGGATTAAATGTTAGGCGACAAATCTGTTCTTTAAAACGCAGCTGGCCGCGGGTGGTGGCGCAGGCCTTTAGAGGCAAGCAGATGTCCGCCAGATCAAGGCCAGCCTGGTCTACCTAGAAAGTTACAGGCCAACCACGGGTACTAGTGAGACCCTGTCTCAAAACAAAACAACAAAACAAAACAGGCTTCGTTCTTCGTATAGAGTGAACTGTAGAGGGCAGAGGAGAGGAGGAAGAACTGTGAGGGTTTGTACAGAACACCACTCAAGGGTGACACATCTGTGTGAGGATGGTGAGGAGTGGACTTGGAAAGAGACTAGACAGAACTTAGGGTGCAGAAGAGGACGGAGAGATAGGAGGCAAGGATAGCCCAAGTCTAGCTCCAACGTCTGTTTGAATGATAGAGCTATTTACACAGATGAGGAAAATTGAGGAAGAGTGAGTGGGGGTTTTGTTGGGGTTTTTTGATGCATTAAATGTGAGGTGAATCTGGGTGAGGCACTTCAGCCTGTAATCATAGCTACTTGGGAGGATGAGGCAGGGGCTCTGCAAACTAGACCTTGTCTCAGAAATTTTTTTGATGAGCTTGGTTCATACCTATTATCCCATCACTGAGGCAGAAAGAGGAGAATCAGGAGCTACAGATCACTGTCAGCTATATAGCTGAAGTCATTTGGCAACATGGTACCGTGTCTCAAAAAAAAAAAAAAAGGTGAGATGGCTCAGTGGGTAATCGCACTTGCCGGTCCACCTAGGTTCAATCCCTAAATCCCATTATAGGAAGAGAGAAGGAACATCAAAAAGCCATCTGTCAGAGGATCTGTCAGACTCCAAGTACACCCCTGTCCAAAAAAGTAATAATAATAAATTTTAAAAGTTTGTCTTAATGAGTGAAATAGAGGCTAAGAAACAGCTTCAAGTACCGAAACAAAGGCATAGGTAAACGATGGTGGAGAATAAGGACTAGGGTAAAAGGATCTTTAGGCTATTTTTAAGCCTATGACCTTCATTCTTTTGCAGAATACTGGTCAAAATTCCTCTTGTGTCATCTTTTTCTCTCCAAACTACTATCTATTCTTAGTTTCCATGTGAGTCCTTGCAAGAGAAATGTTTAAACCTTTGTGTTTGGGCAGTGTTCAGTACTCTACAATGAGTGAAATAGAAAGTTGAATCCACCGCGGCTGAGAGATGGCTCAGTGGTTAAGAGCACTTGACTGCTCTTGCAGAAAACCTGGGTTTCATCCCGAGCACCCATATGGCAGCTAGGAACTGTCCTTAATACCAGTTCCAGGGGAATCCAACGTCCTCTTCTGACCTCTGTGGCATTGCAGGACACAGGTGCACTTACACACATGCAAGCAATACACTCAGACACATAAAATAAAAATAATAAAATTTTTAAAAAGTTGAAACCACCAAAAAAAAAAAAAAACCCAAAAACTTTGTCTTAAGGAATGGAAGAGTTGTGGTTAGAAACATAGCTGTAATAAACTGCATGTCTGTCTGCCTAGCATGTATGAGGCCCTAGTTTCAACCCCCTGTACTGCAAATAAAAAATTTTTAAAAGATGACATACAAGGGACTGAAGAGATGGGTCAAGAGTTAAGAGCACTAGCTGTGTTTGGTTTCTAGTACCCATATGGCAGCTAATAGTTGTCTATAATTCCAGCTCCAGGTGATCCAATACTCTCTTCTGGCCTCTATAAGCATTGCATGCACAAAGTGCACTTAACATATATACAGGCAAAAAACACTCATGCAGTGAAAATAAAAAAGCTGGGGGCTGGAAAGATGGCTCACTGGTTAAGTGTACTAGCTACTCTTGCAGAGGACCCAGGTTTGGTTCCCAGCATCCACATGGTGGCTAACAACCATCTGTAACTCCAGTTCCAGGGGATCCAAAGCCCTCTTCTGACCTTTGAGGGCATTGTACAACATGGATGCACTCACGCACATGTAGGCAATACACTCATACACATAAAACAAAAATAAAATATCTTAAAAAGTAAAAATAAGTTGGGCATGGTAGTGCATGCCTTTAATCCTAGCACTTGGTAGGAAAAAGCAGGCAGATCTCTGTGAGTTTGAGGCCAGCCTGGTCTGGCATAGCGAGTTCCAGGCCATCTGGGGCTACAGGGAGACCCTGTCTCAAAGACCAATAAATAAGCTAATTTTTAAAAAATGACATACAGCTAGGCATAGTGGCACACACCTTTAATCCCAGCACTTGGGAGGCAGAGACAGAGGGAGGTGGATCTCTGTGAGAGCAAAGCCAGCTGTGACTGCAAGGAGACCCTGTCTCAAAAAGGCAACCAAAAAAAAAAAAAAAAAAAGACATGACATCATGACATAGAAATTGAGCAATTATTGTGCCTAACAAGTCTTCTCCCTCTGCTTCTTTGCCCTACAATTCATTCTCCATGCGGCAGGGAGGCTCGAGGGCCCTTTTATTTTTATTTATATTTTATTTAGAGACTAGGTGTCATGTATCCTCGTCTATCCTCAAACTCTATGTAGCTGAGGATGATTACCTTGAACTTCTGATCTTCCTGCCACCACCTCCAGATTACTAACCATGCCTAGTGTTGAGGATCAGAATCCTGGGCTTCACACACTAGGCAAGCACTGTACTAATTAAGAGTATATCCCCAACCCCCAAAGACCTTTTTAGAAAAGATTTTTTGAATTATTTTGAATGTGTGTGTATCTGTGTGTGAGCATGTGCACGTGAATGCAGGTGCCTGAAGAAGCCAAGAGGCATCAGATTCCCTGGAGCTGGTGTTACATGTGTTGTGAGGCAGCTGGACATTGGAGCTAGGATCTAAACTCAGAGCCTCTGAAAGAAGAGCACACACCCTTAACTGCTGAACCATCTCTCCAGCCTGTGAGGGCCTTGTTAAAGACATGTACTAGATCACTGTCTCTTTTGTTTTGTTTTGTTTTGTTTTGGTCTTTTTGAGACAGGGTATCCCTGTAGCCCCAGCTGTCCTGGAACTCACTACGTAGACCAGGCTGGCCTTGAACTCACAGAGATCCGCCTGCCTCTGCCTCCCGAATGCTGGGATTAAAGGCGTGCACCACCATGCCCAGTGGTCACAGTCTTTTAAATATGTCTCCAGGTACATTCCTTTACATAAATCCTTTACCTTCTCTCTGACCCTGGCAACCTCTATTTGTCATAGACTTGTCTAGATTTACATGACCTTCCTTGTTCTGCCTCAAGGCCTTTGTACTTCTGTCTACCCGGTCAGTCCTTTGTCCTGCTCTTTGGATGGTGTGGTCTTTCCTGTGTAAAATAGGGATCCTCCACCCAACTACCCCAGTCACTCTGGGTCCTTCCATTGTAATTGCTTCCTTCATAGAACTTTCCTGGACTCTACTTACATTGTTTATTTATGCATGTGTCTCTTACCATAGTGCCATGAGTTTGAGACTAGGTTGGTCACCTTCATTTTTCCACTGCCTGATAGCAATGACGTAGAGCATTCACTAAACGAACACCTGTCAAGTGAATGTTCCTAGAACACCTGTCAAATCAATGTTCCTGGACAAGGAAAGTTCATGGAACTGCAGAAGTTAGAGAGGGAAGGAAAGGGAAGCTGTGGAGGCAGGGTGTGCAGAGGACAGCTTACTCAGGCATTCCTGAAGGGAAGGCCAACTGGCAGGCAGGAGTTCGGAGAGTGCAGAGCAAGCACTGGACTGATAAATAATCTAGGGCCAATAGATAAACAGCTAAGGCCAGACGGTAAGGTCTCTGCAAGAGCAAAGTCCATGTGCAGTGTAGATGGAGATCTTGGGAGCAGAGGAAGGACTGCAGGATGTGGGATAACAAGATGCCTGGCAGCAACCAACTCAAGTCCTCAGTTTAAGTGTGGGAGTGAGACAGACAGACATGTGTATGATAATTTAGCAACTCAGGACCCTGCTTGGCTTGAGATATATACACACCCCTTTCCCAACAACGTAACAACCTTGGACCCCTACCTGCATCCAACTAAAGGCATACTCCTCTCTAAACAAAGCAACTGGCCACTGTCCTTTGAGCCTCTCAGCAACTTAGTAACTTCCCTTTGGTGGTCAAACACATCTTGGAACATATCCTAGAACTGGAGGTAATAGACCGATTCAGCCTAGGCTAGTTTAAGGTGCATGTATAATTAGGTAAACTGCGTCCTCTGAGTGAACTTTTAGGGAAAACTTTTAGTAAGCATCTTATATCTATGCATGACTGGGTATGCATATGATTAAAGTCACATGCATCACGGGAAAGAACATGCACAGTAAACGAAAGTTTGTATAACCCAAGCCTATCAATCAAAACAAAAGACCAGCCATACCCTGCCCCTAGCAACCAACTTCTCCTCCTGGGCCCACAAAAGGAGTCCCAGATAGTAACCAGGAGCTCTCAAGCAAATCTTGCCCAGGTTCCCCTTATAGTGTACTACTCACTCTGTTCTTTTGCTCTCCTTCCGAATACAATGCT